ATTATGCCATCCTTTCCTACTCAGGGCAATACAATGGTCCAGAGCTTATCTCTGAACATTTGCAAACAGTTGCCTTGCTTTCATTTATTGAATAGACATGAACCTGTCCGCTGATATGTCCTGATGGAAGCCGAGTGGTGTCCCAGCACATGCTGAGTGTGGGCAGATGGCGGAACTGCAGGAAGGGCCCTACAGGCCAGTGATTGATCACTGACTGTGGGGGTGATGGGAGAAGGGAAGGTCAGTAGCAGGAGGGCTTCATGGAAAGCACAGGGTGAAATGGGGGAGGATGCACTCATACTTTTCTAGGTTTTTCCGCCATTAGCTCAGAAGGGGCTCATGGTGAACAACAGAAAAAACAAGGGAGGGAGACAGGAACTTGAGGAGGTGCCAAGAGCTCTTGCAAACCTTCAAGGCCTTGGGCTCTGGGGACTCGGCCAAGGGGGTTTTCTCTCCTTGTTTTATCTACATTCAATTGCCCATCCCAGGTCTAAAAGAGAAAACTGCACTGGATTCAAGACTACTTTCATCTGGGTGAAATCCAACACACTGAGTCACAAAAATACCTTGATTCATTTCCACATTTATTTTAAGAATTTGTTCAAATGATAGCATTTTGCTAAAGCCAAAAGTACACATGGCACTGGATTCCAGGCTGATGGGAAGCATATGCCTTCCCAAGGAGGCCCATACTGTGGAGGCCCGATCTGGAGGCCCTGCTGGGTCAGGGAGTAACTCATACCTGGGATTTACTAATTGTAAATGTTTTGTAGTAAAGATGTTTAGTGTTCACTATAGGAGCCAGGAGACCTGGACTTCATTCCATAGACGATAGGGAGCCACAGATGGAATTTAAGCAAAAGAGAGGCATATCCTGATTTGTTTTTTGGAAAAACAGACATTTGGGAAAGAGGACATGAAGAAAATAAACTCAGAACTGTAGAGAGAACATGGATGTTTTTCCATTACAATATACTACCTTTTCTGTTCTGATGAGGTTCAGCCTACACTAATTGTAAACTACACAGAAGTGCTTAGTAGGTACAACTCTCTTCAACTTCACAATAGACCTCTGTAACTTAGGGATATACAATTCCCACTTAACTGGGCCATTGTCAAGGTAAATGCATGAATGAAATCAGTTGTATATAAAGTGTGCAGCACCATGTCTGGTACATATTAAACTCTCAGAAATGGCTCCTTGCTGGCTTATCTCAGCTCCAGTACCTGTCCCCTTTGTGATTCGGAAGCCACCTATTCTTGGCAAAGCACCTACTCAAGAACTGTTCCTTCATAATCCCATACTTCATTTTTGTTCGTTTGTTTGTTTGTTTTTTAAAGCAGGGCTGGAGATAGGTCTTAGAGTGATCCTGACTCTTTTAGGATCCTTCAAGTTGGGAGGCCTAAGATTTCTGACAGTTGGTCTCCAGAAAGCTAAGGATTTTTTTTTTCTTAGTTCTCGACCCAAAATGACCCTGTTCTTTCAAATGCCTGATATGCCTTCAAGTTAAAGTTTCATCTATTTTTATTGTATTGTCAGCAAAAATAATAATACATACATATCAAATAAAATTCAGAAAAAAAGTTTAAAGCTGAGATTAATTGACTGCTTAAGAACAAAAATCATGTTTATTGGTCTAACTGCTATTTCATTCCCATAAATGACATCATGACTGGGCAGGGCTGGAATTGTCTTTGAAGTGCCTCTGAAGACTGGTCATATATAACCATTTGATATCAAGAGGGCTGAGGGGAAGCAGGTGGAATCTCTGCAGCCTCCTATACATTCTCCTGCTTTTGGAAAGCCAGGATAGGAGTGCCAGGGCCCTTCCCCTTCAAGGCCCATCTATATCAGCCAGGGACCTGGAGCCAAAGTTTGGGATCCTTCTGTCTCTGCCAAGGAAGGGTGAATGTCCCAGCATGGAAGGCCTGGAAATGCTTCTTCCATATTCTTCCATGCTCCAACCCCCACAAAGCCAGTCCCAGGACACTTGCTTCCTTCCCACATCCTTCCAGCTCTTGGGTCTAACATTCAGAGGAGCTCCAGGAACTGGGCAATACACCTACACCAGGAGCCAGAACTGAGCTAAACTTGCACTGGGTGGGCATGGGCCCTTTGTTAGCCTTGGTGTGGGACAGGGTGCTGCTCCCCTTCCCAGTCTGTGGGCTTATGAAATATTCTCACTTGATGCTGGCTACCTCTCATTAACTCCTGTTGCTAGCCTAGCTGTTCCCTTCCACTTCACATGGTCTAGGGAGGTTTGTGGGACCATTGCAGAGACAAACACATCCCGGGAGCACTCTCTATAAGTGACAACTTTCTCAGCCACAAGACAGGGAGACAGAGACATCAGATTCAATTCCAGGCTTCCAATCAAATATCCAGAGGACACTTTTCCCTCTGAAAACTGCAAAGTAAACAGAACTTCAGCTTGGGAAGCAATGTACTTGTTATTTAAACTGAAATTCTAGGGAGGAAGGGGTAGTCAGCAGCTCTGCCAACTTCCATAATGGGATTTTAGGCAAATGCTCAGAGAAAAAATATAAAGAAGAATCAAAGTGGTCCTTGTAATATCAGATTCATATTAAGATATCCATATCATATCAGCCTTTGAGCAATTATTATCTGCAAACTGCAATTTTTTTTTATCAGGTAGAAGAAATTTCTACCCATATTCTTCTTGGTGTTTGTTTTTCTTTCATGTCGCCAGTCCAGAAACCCTTACTGCAACAGAGGAAAAAACACTTCTTCCCTCCAAGTCACCATACTGATATGCCTGTCCCTTTGTTAACTATATTTGAATCAAAGGACCCCTCAAAGCTTTGCTACTCAAAGTATGATCCAAGGATCAGCAACATTAGCAGCACATGGGGGATCCTAGGAAAGCAGACTCAGTCCCTTCTTCAGATCTACACCCTCAGAATTCACAATGCCCTGGGCATGCACACTACAGTGTAAAAACACTTCCTCAAAAGATACGGGGAATCTCACAAATCTATGATCTGCTACACACATGCCCCCCTCAGAAAAAAACAAGTACTTTTGCATAGAAAACTCAAGTACCATTAGATATACGTGAGTGTAGACAGTGAGTGCCAAGTTCTGTTATAGGGGTCATCATGATTCTTCACTACAACACGGGAGGTAGGTATCATCCTTCTCAACTTATAGAGGGTAAACAGGGTGCAGAGAGCTTAAGCGGCTTTTGCAAGGTCATGCAGTAAATCAATGGAAGAGACAGGATTTGAATCCAGGCAGCCTGACTCCAGAGGGCAAGTTTCTAGCCATGACACTATCCCTCCTTCCAACAGTGCACCTGCATTCAGGGAATTAAATAATTGATCCAGGACCTGAGAGAAAAGGCTAGATTACTCTAAGGTGCCTCATTTTAGGGTCAGTGGCATTTAGAAGCAGTGAGCATTAGAAGTGAGGATCTCAGAACTCCCTTGGGTTATCATCTGAGGATGCCAAAGCTTAAAGAGAGAAAATGTGTGAAAATCAATGGTTTTCCCAAAGGAGTAGAAAATTGGAGGCCAGGACATGTCTGAGCCTCTAGTGAACTTCCCATCAAGCTTCCTGCCTCCTCGGTGCCACATCCTAATTCTTCCAGGGTTTGGCTCTTCCAAAGGCATTTCCAAGTGACAGTGTCTATTTTTCCTTTCATTCCAAATCTGAGAATATCAGTTCTGTTTCCTTCTATTCCATTTTGTCATTTTGTATCCTATGTAAAACCTTCTTTTAAAAGGTTAGTGTGAGGGGGAGTTTGTGCTTATAAATCACACTTCAAAAACTCTAATAACAAATAGATGCGTGATCTACAATCAAAGTGTAACAGGAACTTTCAGATGTTACAGCCAAAGCGCTCTCTTCCTTTGATGAAAGTCAGTCCTGCTAGCTATTGAGTGTTAATTAAGGTCGAATCTTCGTATGGGCTCCAGAGACATTTGCCAGCTAGGTCTTAGCTCCACTAATGCTTTTATAGATGAAAGCAGGGTAGAAGTCCAGGACCAACGAATGTGGCTCTGGAACCTGGGCCATCCCATCTGAGATGCCTATATTTAACCAAATGGTACCTTCTGTCAATGTTGACTATCCCACAAGGAGTGTCTCCAACCCCAAATGTTTGCAGACTATGGGGCGGGGTGTTTCTGGAACAGACTTCAGAAGCCCAAGGAGGTGAAAAACTCTTCCTGTTTAAAGTACAATTTCTGCTATAAAAGGCATTAAACAACTTTCCTTTGGAAGACTGCCTCATCTGGGAGAGGCAAGATAAAACACGCCATCCCCTTAAAATGCCACCCTTATGAGGCCACCATTTCTGAACTTACCCAGCAGCGTCCTCTCCATAACCTCTACTACAGGGGTAGGGAAGTTGTTCCAGACCCCACCACGCAAGACTGCCCCATCTCTTGTGAGATGTGTGGTGTGAACCTCAATCACTTAAATGCCTGAAATGCCAGAGTGGGTCAAAGACCAAAAGCAGAGAGCTGACAAGCGGCGTCCACCTCAGCCCAGTTCTCCCAGAGCTCATGGTTCCAGGGGCCCCGTGTGGGCTGGGGAGCCATAGCAACTGCTCTGTGAAAACAAGAGATTGGCAGCTATAGAACAAACACCCTAAGAGTCCACCCTGAACACCCTGTCCAGGGGACTTACCTTGCACTGTCCGGACACGCAGATGGCCGTTCCGTTCTGGTCACATGGGGTTCCATCAATGACCTTCTCCGCTTGCCGCACATAGAAGCGGTAGCCCATTGCCTGGCAGTTCAGCTCACACTTGCGATTGCCCTTTACTGCCCCAAACAGGAAAAAAAAAAAAAAATGTCATTGCTGTCGAATCAATCAGCACCTTTTATCACTATGTTTTTTATTGAGATAAAAATCTCAATAAAAATTAACATAAAATTAACCATTAACCAAAGTGTACATTTAAGCACATTTTAGTATATTCACAAATTTGGACAACTAGTACCACTGTCTAATTCCAGAACATTTCCATCACCTCAAAAAGAAACCTCCTGCCTGTTAGCTGCCACTCCAATTCCTCTCTCCCTCCAGATCTTGGCAACCACCAGTCTACTTTCTATCTCTCTGGATTTGTCTATTCTGGACATTTTGCAAGCACATACTTTTTCAAGTTGCAAGGAAGTATTGATACTCTCAGATTTGACGGCTTAGGGAAGGGCTGTATCTTGATCTACTGGCATGGTAGAGATCCAATGCTAAGTGAACATCATAAAAAATCTTCTTCATGTTCTGTTTATAGAACATCGTTCCACACTTTGTTACTGTCATAATTATATTTTGTATATCCGTAATCATACAACTTTTCTAATATAACCTATGTCGTTATATGATCTTTGTGGTCTTCTTAAAGGCTGCTGTTTCCTGTAAAATTTCATCCACTATGAGATAATTTAAGGGCTTTCTCCATCACCTTAAGTTGCCGTTCAAAGTCCTAAACAATGGACAAAACATCTTGCAAGAATTAAACCTCGCCTACTTTTATGGTCTCATTTCCTGCCATTGTTCCTCAGATCCACATTCTACATCCAACTAGCCATTTCCTCTGTCTAGCCATTGCTCAGCTCCTTCTGCCCTTCCCTCACTTGGCTAGCATCCAAATTGACCTTGCTTTAGTGCCCAGGTCACCTCTATGGAACCTGATTCCACCTGTGCACCCACCCATCACAGGTTGATTTGCCTCCTCTATTACAGCATGAACCATGCTGTATTGTCGTACGGTCTGAGGGAGCCCAGGAATGTGTCTTTCTTCATCACTTTTGCATTCTCAGTACCTGGCACAGATCTTTGCACATAGCAAACACTACAGATCACTGAGGAATGAAAGAAGGGATGAATACATGCATGTTTCCCCCAAATTTTTTGTTTTTTTCCTTTTTCTCCCCTCCCTCTGCTAGATGCATTTCCCTTTATCTAAGCCTTTTTCTATACCTTTGTTACTTCACACAGAGCTTGGCACACAGAGGGACTCCATAAATGCTAACTTAATTATTCCATTAAGGAACAATTTAGCTGCTTCCAAAATAAGAAAGAGAAAAAAATGTTTAGGCAAAATATATTTCCATATCCAAAAGAAACAGACAAGCCAAGTACATACTGATTTAAAAAAAAAACAAAACTGTTTTTGGAGACAAGACTAGTGCTATGCTTAGCCATAGAGAGAATGTTCCAGGGTCGTGCCTTTGTCTAAACATCAGATTACTGGATTGGGCAATACTGACTTTTTCCTACACAACATAATACATCATATTTTCCCTATTGTGGCTGCCTGACTGTTACGGCAATGAACTTCCTCCTATTCCAAAGCCATTGGAAACCACTAACAGGAAAGAACATGGCACCTCCGGGACGGCATGGTTCACGGAAGATTGAATTGTGTGTGTGCACTCCCAGCTCTATCTTAGAAGTTAAGAGACCTGCTTTCCTATCCTGGCTGTCCTAAAGATATAAGATGTGATCTTGGAAAAACAAAAACAAAAACAAACAGAATAAGTGAGGCCATAAGTAACTTAGCAAGAAGGTGCCTCAAAATAAGAAAAAAGGGCTGGAGATGTGTCTCAATGGTTAAGAGTCCCTCCGTTCAATCCTCAGTACACAAAACAAAAAATACTAAGAGGGAAGCAATTTGGGAAATGATCCCAAACCAAATCCTTTTGTAGACTTAGAAAACCTCAGGCTAGGGGCCTGATAGGTGTGAGGCTCTGGGTTCAACCTCCAACACTGCAAAAGGAAATGACAAGTTAGAGGCAAAACTTGCCTGCTACAGCTTGCCTTCTCCTTTCCTCCATCCAGACCTTGTTCCTTCTCTTCCTAGGTCCTCACTCATAAGTGCTGGCTGGGACTAGCCAGGCACATCACATTTCAATAGAAAGAACATGGCACCTCTGGGACGGCATGGTTCATGGAAGATTGAATTGTGTGTGAGCACTCCGAGCTCTATCTTCGAAGTTAAGAGACCTGCTTTCCGATCCTGGCTGTCCTGTGAAAGACAGCCTCGCAGGGGGCAGGAGTTTGGGGTTCTCACTTCTGGCTTCCTCTCAACGGCTTCTATCCTTTGGGATGATATCTGCTACAGCTGCAATTTTATTTCTCAGTATTCACAGCCATAATACAAAAGAACATTCTGGGGGGTCGGGGTGGTGGGGTGGAAAGGCTAAACATGAAATAATCATGTCAAAATCTCCCAAGTGGTTAATGGAAAATAACCCAGAGGAATGGTTCAGACCCAGGCTCCTTCCTCCTGCGGCTCAAACCAATCACTGAGTCTGACCCTTCCCTGTCCTTAGATGGTGTTCTTGCCTTCTCAGATCTGCAACCAGGAGATCCCTGAAACCTGAGCTCATGTGACTCCATGACAAAATGGCCCAGAATCCTTTTGCCTTAAAGAAACACTCACTGTAGTGTTTCTCAGAAGATGACATCAGGATGCCACTAGACCCTGCATATACTCCCCAGCCTTTATGGTTCCACAGTAAAATACAGGCAAGGGCCTCTCTTCATTCCTTTTGTTTCTCCCTCAAACAAAATTACATTTCTGGGGCTGGGTGTAGTTCAGTGGTAGAGCGTGTGTTTAGTGTGTACAAGGACATGGGTTCAACCCCCTGCACCATTAAAAAAAAAAATACTGATGCCAGAAGATGCTTCTCTAAGCAGACTTCATCACATTTTTATTGGTGCACAGGAAGGGGAACACAGGAGAGGAAGCACAAGCAGGGAGCCACGGGAAAGTACAAATGGGCACCTACTTCTCTTCCCTGATTTTCTCCCTCCTATTCCTCTCCTTCTCTGTTCTCATCTGCTTCCTAAAGTCCTCCCAGCCCCCAGAGGGGACACTTCACCTTCCACCCAGTAATCAGTGGTTCTCAGTGTGGTTCTGGGAACAGCAGCACCAGCATCTCTTGGGGACTTCCAGAAAACACAGAGTCTTGGCCTCACCTCAGGCTTCCTGAATCAGAAACTGGGGAAGAGCCCAGGCCACAGTCAGGTTGGGAGCCAGCTGCTGCTCTAAGGAAGATCAGGCAACAAATAGACTTGGGAGCCCTTGACTATCCTTATTTAATCAAAGATGCTCCAATCCCCACACCTAAATTTAAAAGATAATATAACCCCAAATATAAGCATTTTAAATAAATTGAAGATATTACCAAGTATCTGGATCCCCGATATTAAAGAAGCCTGTGATCATGAAAGGAATGCTGAAAAATATAGAAGTAAATTTAAGTTACTTAAAATAAAGCAGTGAGTAGCTACATGATTTACCTACAAATAGAAATTAAAGATTTAAAATAGTCATTGAGGTCTGTCCCTTGGAAAAAATCCATGGATGTATTAATAAAGAGTTTTTTGTTTTGTTTTTAAGTAATAAAAAGTGATAGGACAAAAAATATATATAGAAAGGAATTAACAGTTTCAAAATGTTGAAAGCTAGACAGCAGAAGGACCCATGGTAAAGATTCAGCCCCAGGAAAGCTGGTCCCAAGCAAGAACTGAAGCAGAAATGCCGCCTGGCATGGCAGAGTCTCCTGTTTGGACACAGGAGATAGAAGAGGCTTAAAACCAACAAAACCGTTGGGATGTTTGAGAAGTGGAGGTTCCGCTTTCCAGAATGGCTGCCTAATGCCTCTGGAAATCAACCATCCATAAACACAAGAACACTGGAGTGGTTATCCCAGTATCAGACAAAAGAGACTTTAAAATGTTACTAGAGACAAATAAAGACATTTTAAATGATAAAAGATTCTGTCCCTCAGGAAGACAGAACAACAGAGCCCCAAAGTACATGAAATAAAAACCGGTAGAATTGAAAGAAAAAATAAACAACTCAGCAATAGCAGTTTTCTACTTTTATAGTCCACTTTCAGCAATTTATCAACAATAAGAAAGAAAACCAACAAGGAAAGAGAATACTCAAATAACAGTGTAAATCAAGCAGGCTTTGAAGATACCTATAAACCACTCCACCCGACAACACAGAACACACATTCTTCTCAAGTGCACACCAAACATATGCCAGGAGGAAACAAGTAACAGCCATTAAACAAGATTCAGGAAGTTTAAAGGACTAAGACAATAAAGGGTATGTTCTCTGTCCATAATAGATTGATCTTAGGAATCAATAGCAGAAAGAACTTTGGGACAAATACGTGGAAATTCAACAGCATGCTCCTAATAAACGATCAAGGAAAACACACACACACACACACACACACACACACACACACACACACACAGAAAATTAGAAAAAAAATCATTTGAAATTAATAAAAGTGAAAATACAACATACCAAAGTTCATGGGCTATAGGTATATTGGTGCTTAGAAGGAAAACTTAAAACTATAAACACCTGGATTAAAAAAGATCTCACATCAATAATTGAGAGTTCAGAAATAAATATTTACATTTATGGTCAATTAATTTTGACAAAGGTGCCAAGCCAAAATCAATATATCTTTGCAACAAATGACATTGTGACAACTTGGCACATTACAAGCAAAACAATGAACTTGGGCCCCTACTCATACCATACACAAAAAAGAACTCAAGATGTATCATCGACCTAATGTAAGAGCTATGGCTATAAAATTCTGAGAAGAAAATATAGGCATAGGGCTGGGGGTATATAGGTCAGTGGTAGAACACTTTCCTAGCATGCTCAAGGCCTGAGGTTCAAACCCCAGATTCAGAAAAGGGGCGGGGGTTGAGAAGGAGGAGGAGGAGGAAAAGGAGGAGGAGGAGGGGAGAGAAGAGGAGAGGAGAGGAGAAGGAGAGG